CCCCATAAGGATATGTTTACCCTACATGTGCGTGTGTGTGTGTGTGTGTGTGTGAGTGTGTGTGTGTATGTGCCTGTGGCTAACCCTGATGATATTTCATAATTAAGCAGGACAAGCGCACATCATTCCTGTCACATGATTTCTTTCTCCCGTTTGTGTCTGGGGTGACGCTTTTGGCAGTAAATGACATTCTCTTTCAAGTTCAAAAGGAAGACGCGCTTTCTGTTTGTCTGAACTCTGCATGGCATCGTTCGTCAGTCAAACTGCTCTAACATGAGTGATATGAAGGTGCTTAGACCAGTGCTGTGTCCCTCTGCCCGGCCAAAACGCAGTGAGGCAGAATGTGGAGTTTCTCCACTGGACTTAGGCAGTGGGACGTGGGCATTGACTGCGGCAGTGTAGTATTAAGCAGATCAAAGAACCTTATTTCTTTTGCATGTAATTGTGCTGTGTTTTATCACTGGGATTTTGTAGGTGCTGCCATCTGCTAAGGTTTTCACCATACAAACTGCAGCAATATTGAAGCTAACAACACGTGACCTAACTCTGCACTGTGGCTATGCTGTTGTAAAATAGCACCATAAAATAGGGCTTTTTAAAAACCATTTTTTCTTATAAAGTTTCTGCACAAGGTTCAGCAAGAATATTTCATGCGTGACCCTCTTTGTTGGCCCAGCTGGTTCCTTTCACCGATTTTAGCCCGGAGAAACACTCCCCAGCAAAACAGATGTCGGCTCACAAGGCTGTAATGGTGCATGTTGCTGAAAGGGACAGAGGAAGAAAAACAACAAATTAAATTTTTACAGCCAGTCAGGGGGTGGCATGATGATGCAGTGTTTAGCACTGTCGTCTGACACCTCTGGGACCCGGGTTCGAGCCTCCACCAGAGTTCCATGTGTGTGGAGTTTGCATGTTCTCCCTGTGCTGTTCTGGGGTTTACTCTTGGTGCTCCGGTTTCCCCCCACAGTCCAAAAAACATGCTGAGGCTATTTGGCGATACATAATTGTCCATTGGCGTGCAAGTGTGAGCAAAGGGTCTGTGTCCTCTGCAATGCAACACTGAATAGGACAAGTGGTTTCAGAAAGCGGATGGACAGCCCGTCAGTCCAGTTCCACTGAAAGAATGGATCAAAGAGCAAATGCGTGCCCATTTATGATGATTGCTTTTCAGTGTTTAAGTTATTGGCAGCTGAGGTAATCAGTTCAGTATTGGTGTTTTAATCATCCACGAAGGCAGTAAGTATAACTCAGGTGTAATGACTGGTGTGGTATAAAGAGTAGAGAATATTAAATGAGATGTGGCTCGATTTATTACTGTCTACATGGGCTTGTGCAGTATAGACAGATCACAGCACAGCACCTAATATCTGATGATTTCAATGACAACTCTAACCCCTACCCACCCCCAACCAACTGAATTTCCCCCCAGAGCATCAAAATAACAGGTTTTTATCACATTGTGGGGATATTTGGTCCCTACAATGTAATACATACCTAATCCCCCCCCCCCAACACGGACAGACAGACAGACACATACACACACACACACACAGACTAAGGTAGTCCGCAAATGAGTCTGGATTTGCACTAGTTGCTGTAACCTTAAATCTCTAGTTTATATTTCCTAAGAAATGTCAGTGTCTGCAAAGACCCCCCATGAAGTGAATTAGCAGTATCTTCCCGGGTTTTGGTACGACTGATATGTTACCGCCAGCTGGCAACTTAGCTAAACAGAGATCAATGAACTAACGTTTTTCTTTTTCCTTTCAGCTTTTGCAGAAGATGAAATGTTCCTTGGTCCAAGGTGGATAACAGAACCCAGCGATTTGACACTCCCCATTGATTCCCCCGACCAGGAGGTCACCATACCATGTGAAGCAGGCGGGGACCCCCCCCCACAGTACAGGTCGGCCCATCGATGTGTCGCACTGCTTCCAGAAGCCTCCGGTTTAAAACCATCTCATGAAATATTGCACCCTAGAAATGTTTGGTATAGCACATTAAGAAAAATGGAAAACTGACTCTGCATATAGATTGCTTTAGACATAGATTAAAAATAACATCGTTGACACTTACCTCTGCACAAAATCTCCCGGCGTAACATTGATTTCTTTGGCGGTAGGCTAGTAGTTGATTTAACTGCAGCATAATTACTTTAATCTAAGGATTTATTAACAGTTCAGTGTTGCTTTTTAAAGCTTATATCACCAGAGACATTTGCTTCACTGCTTTTGGGAAAAAAAATGCCAGTAATTGGAATCACTGGCCTTTCTGGGTCCTGTCTTGTTCTTTAACTACTATACCGGAAAGGGCACTTGCTGTTGTACCCTTGAGAGATGTGCCTCAGCTGGAATGCGTTAAGTAAAATCTGTCTGGCTGAGACCCAGGTACGACTGGAAACTAGTGCTCATGATTAGTTTGACTGGATAATGATTTCCGAAAAGCAAATTAATTCAAATTCCATGATGAAGCTATATTACTTTATCCACAAATGCATGAAGAGATAACATTCATTAAGTGCTCTCCACTTAAGACTTACTTGCAAACCTGTCAAACATTTCTTGATAAATAAATACAGAGGCCGGCGACGCTCTTGCGCGCGCTTGTGCTTCGTAGCTCGGTCAGCATCGTGTAAGTGCATCGCCAGCAGTAACCGTCTGAGTGGCGTTTTGTTTAACACGTACGTTTGCTCTTGCTTATGTTTGTTGAAAATCTGCATCTTAAAGCAGCAGGGGGCATCATCACATGTGTGTAAACACAGCAATTCACATTTATCTTGCAGATGCTTTTTCCCAAAGTGAAGTGCATTTGAGATGGCAGGGTCAAACACTCCCTGGCACAGTTGGGGTTAGGGGTCTAGCTCAAGGGCCCAACAGAAAAATCACTCTGCCGACCGCGGGATTTCAGCCAGCAACCTTCCGATCACGTATACCCAGGGTTCCAAGCAGGGAAACGTAACTCTTCTTTCAAAATAGACAGCCTTGACCTTAAAATAGAATCCAGTATTTGAGGTAACTGTACTGCCAAAACATTAGCGTAATGCTAGCTGGTGTCTTCACTTTGCCTTTACTAAAATTGCAGAGGTTGTATAAGCTCATCTTTGCCATGTTGTTTGGAAAGATTAGGAAGTATACGCACTTGTCAAAACGAATTCAGGACAGTGGTAGGGGAAGTTACAGTTCTCTGCAATTCCATACAGATATTCAAACTGCATCTCTGTCATCAACACGTTAAGCTAGGAAGCCATGGGCAGAACGCAGTATTATCTAAGATTTACATTCTTTCTTCTAGTCAGTGTTTCCCAATCCAGTTCATGTAGCGGGAGGGAGCAAAAGTGTGGACTGTCTGGCAGGGAGCTGGGAGGGAGCAAAAATATGCAGCGTCTGTGGCTCCCCGAAGACTGGGTTAAGAACCACTGTTCTAGATGTTTCAGATGAATCCTGGTACAGTGTGGGCTTTGATCAGTTTTCCCCGTTGAATATTGCTGCAGGAAATCCCTTATTCTTATCAGTGTCCAAAAGCAACTAGGAGCATGTGGTTACTGCAGAGAGTACAGGCTATATGTACAAATATCAAATCCTTGACTTATTTTGTTCAGTTGTCTCATGCAAGGATGACGAGGAGCTAAGCAGAGGATGTTAAATATGATGGCTGACGTGACAGGAAGGGACAGACCTTTCAGGTGTATACTTGGACAGAAAGCTCTCCTTGCTGAAGTGTTCTGTCCTGTTAATGTTCCTATCTGAACAGTTCAGAGAGCCTGTGTGTAACTAACTGAGAGATAAGGTCCCCTCCGGCTAAGTGTGGCCTTTTGTCCTGATGCTTAAAAGTGAGATGCTTCATTGCACCATAACATATCCATAACATAACATGAATACACAATGTGTACAGCACCTCAGCCTCAGTGCTACGCTAGACAGGAGGATGTTGTAGAGCGGTGTCTTTGAGCTCATCAGAGTAAATTGCTCACTCTCCTCCCTCTCGCTCGCTGTCTGTTCCTCTTTAAAATTCTGCAGCAGTAAATTGTTATGGAGTGGTTTTGAAGATTTGAGGAATACTGCATGATGTTGACCTTGATTTCCAGTGGTCCCATCTATCAGCGCGGTGTCAGTGTTGGGCAAGAGGTACCCAAAGCCAAATCCCAGAGGGTGGAATCTGAAGCAATGCACGATGAGCCAAATTATACTGCGGATCATATGAGTATTGAACGAGTAACCAGCTGTCAGAAGAAAGCGGGTTTATTTCCATGTGGAGGAAAGTAAGAAAACCCACCTGGTTATGAAGAAATGAAAAATCTCAGGGGGTTGTATCGTAAGATGGCGCCTCCATCTGGTCATCAGTATGCTGGGAAAAAAAACAGGATAGCAGGAAAGTAAAATGCAAAAACAACTGTTGCAAGAGCGTCAGTCCACAAATGTATGATTTTTTATTTTTTTGAGAGAGAGCAGGGATAGGGAATAGTGGGCAGGACGTTCCTGTGGAGCCAGCGGCTCAGCGTGCCGTGAGAGCAGTGATCCGTTATTAACACAAACTGAAGTCCAGATAGCAAAGCCAGCAGGTTGAAGTTGTGGAAGCAGACATGAGTCTTGGCATCGTTACTATCCGAATTCACGTTCGTGATGTTGTGGCTACTTTGATGTTGTTACAAGTTCCCATGACGAATTCTCTTCACTGAAGCATTTAGCTCCAGATAAAACACTTAATGCAGAACTGAAATCGCTATAGCAATACACCGTGTTTTAGGGTTAGCGGGTTTCTCATCAAGCAAGGTTTTGGGCATCCCAGCGGCTGTAGGTGGAAGAGTACTGGCAGGGGGCGCTGCTGTCAAGCTCTGTTAGCTAGTCTTTACGTAACGCTTTATGGGTGAGGTCAGCCAGAGTTCAGACCGCTGTGCTCTTAACAACAGCGAATATGCTGCATGGTTTCTCAAAAACGTGTCCACCGTCACAACTGGCCATAAGGGTACAGCTGTGTACTGTGGATAGGGCTGATCGGTAAATGTGTAAATAAGTGAATAACGTCTTTGAGTAAGCAAACGGTTGAGTCATCTTCTGCTGATGGTCGGTGACATTTCTAGGTACACTTCCAGTCCGTGTCGGGGGGGGAGGGGGAGGAGTTTTACCGGCATTATTTTCACATTTGGTGTGTTCACTAGCGCGGTGGAACATCTCTCAGTAAAAATAATCATGCTTCGTTCTGATGTTTCCACTCCATGAAATCTATCACCACAGATGAAAGAACCGTGTTTCAGCTTCCATAACTAACCTATTATAATTGCCCATTTCCATTCATTGATATGGTTTTCCATCTGTACACCTGTAAGTTATGCAGAGTTAATTGACAAAAAACGTTTGACTTTTAGGTAAACTTTTTCTTTGCTCATCCCTGCTTTGTTTGTAGAATAATGAATGACTGCTGGAGAGTCCGTGCCGTGGCAAAGTGCGGCCCGGTCTGCTCCTGCGAGGCCAGATGGCTGATGGTGTCTCTGTCTTTTCAGGTGGTCACTAAACGGAACGCTCCTTGTTCTCGGCAGCGACTACAGACGTCACACGTCCAGGGGCGACCTAATCATTAGTCGCCTGGACAGGAACCACGACACGGGGCTGTACCAGTGCACGGCGCTGAGCCCACTGGGGGCCGTCCTCAGTAGGAGGGCCAGCCTGCAGTTTGCCTGTAAGTCATTAGCTCTGTCTCTGAAGAGTCTTTCTGCAGTTCTCTGCCTTTTTCTTTGGAGCTGCACACCAATAAAAGACAAAAGCCTAACATTTAAACGGTGTGAATGACAAACGCACATTCTCACGCACTCTACAAAACTGGGGGAACATTAATGCATCTTGATTTTAGTAATAAATGCATTTCAAAGGTTGTCACCATTTCTTAGTATGTTTCCCCCAATGCAGATGTGTTACTTTACAATATAAAATCAGTCCTCGGAGACTCGATATAAGAGCCTTTTAAAGACGCAGTCAGATCACAGCCGCCGCCACACGCCCTGCCTTCTCGGGGTCCTGCTATCGATCTTTCATATAGCTAACAATCCCAGCTGGGGTCTGGGCTCAGCTTCACTGTCCAGGTTGGGGGCGATAGAGGCATCACATTCAGTCGTTTGATTGGTCATCGCTGTGCGCACGCTCACAGACAGCCGGCTGGACTGCAGGCCCCTCCCACATGTGGAGGTCAGGATATTCTGGCACAGGGTTAATCTGTATGAAGCCCTTTTTAATTTTTATTTAAAAAATGTCCATACAGAGTTATGCTCTGATCTTTCAGCTCTTGCTCTGAGATGTTCCTCTCTGCCTCGGTTATAGAAAACAGCTGAATATTAATGTGCAGCAGAGTCTCGGATTCTGCACAAACTCGCTGTCCCTGTGAACTGTGCCCTGGTGAATTCTGGCCCCGACAGTAACATGCCAGTGCCAGTGTTCTGGGGTATAATAATAATAATAATAATAATAATAATAATAATAATAATAATAATAATGATAATAATAATAATAATAATAATAGCAATATGATGGTGGCAGAGGAAGGATAGTCCTCTAAAGCATATACAGTGGTACCTCAGAACTCGAACTTAATCCATTCAGAACTCGGGATCGAATCCTATGAAGTTCGAGTACTGATCGAATTTTCCCCATAAGAAATAATGGAAGACCAATTAGTTGGTTCCCGGCCCCAAAAAATTAAACCTAAATATGTTTTTTTTAGCAAACACAAAATGAACCGGACAAAACAAGAAGAGCATATACTGTACTAAACACATCTAAGCGCATTTATCAAAACAGTAATTTGTAAAGTAAGAAAATAAATGTATCCAAAAAATGTGTAAAGTCAAAAAACAATGTGTTCTGCCCCGATCGTCCGCTCCTTCCGTGTGTCACGCCCCCTCGTTAACCTCGTGTGGAATCCCCGTGTCGTCAGCTGTTTCTGGTTGTTGTCATTAGTCCTCTGTATTTAGTCCGCGTTTCAGTTTCTTTCCCCAGTCCGGTCATTGTATTGTCCGTCTGCGTTTTGCCTGCCTTACCTGTAATTAAACCCTGTATTCCCCGATACCCTGACGTCTGCGCCTTTGTCTCCGTTCCGTCCCTGCTGGGCATGACAATATCATTATAATTAAATATATTAATGGTTTATTATTAATATTAAAATAATTATTAAGATCTTTATTTTTTTATGTATTTTATTATATAATAATAATTACTGTTACTGTCTATCATTGTTTAAATGTATTTTTACTGTCTAAATATATGTATTCAGCTAGTGTAAACATGTACGATGCTATCACAGTGAATGCGAGGCTGAGACAGAAGCTTTACCCTTTGTTTCCGCTGAGAGAAGTGCGTGACTCATTTCCCCGCGTGTACAAGTTATCTTAGGTCGGCGTTCACGGTTTGACTTCTGAGATTCAGATCAAGTACTAGGTCATTTTTTTTTCAAACTGGTTGGTTCGACTTTTAAGAAATTTGAGTTTTAATGAGTTCGAGAACTGAGGTACCACTGTATATACTGTATATACATACATATACATATAAAGCACATACAAAAGATAGAGCCATGATTATAAAATCCTCAGTATGTGTTATTTTCACTGCATGTTCAGATGGCTCACCTTTTGTAAATGGATGGATGGTATCTATACTGTACCAGGAAGAGCCGCCTTCACTTGTCATACAGTAATTAGGCACAATTCAGAGAATTGAAAAAGATGTACTGATATTTTACACGGAATGAGCTTCACCCTCTGTTTCATGGAAAATATAAAAACATATGTCAGATTAAGATGCAAGTATAATCTTGTTTAAAATTTCAATGCAGAATTAGTCTTGTTTGATATCATTGTAAATCATCCGTTAACATCAATTTAACTTCCAAAACCTCATGATTAAAACATCCAAGTATCACAACCAGCTATTTCTTGCAGTAAGTGAAGGATGTACATTTAACACTGAACTGAACTCAGCTGTCAAATAAATAAATGTGAAATTGACCTGATGAATTGATCAGCTGATACTGAAGTATGAGAGAGCCCCTGTCACACAGTTAGTGGCTTTATGTAATACTCTGCTGTTTACAAAGACAGAAAAGATGACTGCAATTTTAAATATTTGAAATAGTTTTTATTTTCTTGTGTGTTTTTGGCCGGCTCTGCTAAATTTGGCACTATTATTATGGAAATTAATCTTTGCGTAAAGATCTGGGTTTTGGTACGACCCAAAATCATGCGATCTGCTCTGAACTGTCATCTGGGTTTTGGTACGACCCAAAATCATGCGATCTGCTCTGAACTGTCATCTGGGTTTTGGTACGACCCAAAATCATGCGATCTGCTCTGAACTGTCATCTGGGTTTTGGTACGACCCAAAATCATGCGATCTGCTCTGAACTGTCATCTGGGTTTTGGTACGACCCAAAATCATGCGATCTGCTCTGAACTGTCCCAGGAGGGGACTTGGTGTTTTATTCTTGTGCAAAGTACTTAACCTGGATTGCTTGAGTAAAACATCCCAAATATATAAATAGGCATAATTGTAAACTCTGCCTGGTGCTTTATAAAAATCATGTCTGCTGAGCAATGATAATAATATTGTGAGATAAGGAATAAATGGGACATCGGGGTAACATGATGGGATACACGAGCGTGTTAATCCATGCACTCAGATAGACAGATAATATCATAATGTATTGACATTTAACAATGGCAGGAACAATGTTGCACGCCAAAAGCCAGCTATGAAGCCAGAGTCAGGATTGTTGCATAACAGGTCCTGAAAGATTAAAGTTTATTTTAATATATTTTGTTTTCCAGATACTTCATCTAATGCTGGAAAGCTAGTAGTCATTTAGCTTCTTATTCATGTGACAATTTTTTTAGAAAAATTGTAATGTAATATATACATGACCCACACCACACACACACACACACACACACACACACACATACAAGCACATACCATGGGCAATTTACAGGTACCAGTTCACCTAATTGGATGGGGTTTTTTTAGAGAATAAACAGGGATATGGGTACAATCATCCACATGCATATTTCTTAAAATAAAATAACAGAAACACCCTCCTTACAGGACAGACTTTCCTGATTTGACTGGTGTCTGGTTTTCATGCACTTCGAATGCGATGCTGGGTTTTCCATGAGGAGATGTTGGCGTTAGTGTCTATCATGGGATGAGGAGCAGTATTCTGGGCCAGGTACAAGCGTGGCGTGCCAACGTGTGCTAATTTACATAAATGGATTGAATTACGCCCATTGACATGGAAACTAATTCTTTAAAGTGCAGGATTAAACTGCATTTCATATTGGCTGTTATTTCTGGCAGTGAAAACTGTTGTTAATGATGTGCTCTGCTTCAACTCTGACTCACATCTATCTTCTCCAAACTTCCACATCTCGGTCTAAGTGAATCACATGCTGTTTTGTCTTACGGTACAGAAGATTCATTACATCATAAAGTTATTTTTGTTCAGCAGCATTTAAAGATTCCAGTAACTTCTGTCATTAATCACTCATTTACTGTGACGCTTGAAATATTGTGAGAAAATAATTATTTTAAGTAGTGTGCTGATACTAAGAAGTAACCACTACAAAGTGGATTTGAAAATACTGTAGTTTATGCAGAATTTTGCAGGATGTCATGGTAATGCTGCGATTTCCTTAGCAATCTTTATAAGATTATTGGGTAAATTTACATGTCTGAATATGTGGATGAGACACTTTTGTTCTGAGATACCTAATCTTTAAAAACAGTAAAATGAAGGCAAAGCCACTATCGTAAATAACACGTTATTCACTAGGTTTGTGAACATTAATGAACGTGCCTTACTTGCAATCATAAACCCGCATACTGCCCTACAGTATATACATCATTGCAGCATGTAACTCTTCCTGAATCAGTTTTTCTTTTGTCATTCTCATTTGTAGACTTAGAGAATTTCAAAGCCCAGCTGAGAAGTGCCGTCTCAGTGCGCGAGGGACAAGGCGTGGTGTTGTTGTGCGGCCCCCCGATGCATTCTGGAGGTAGGGCTAACAAAATGCCTGTTCAGGTGGGGGCAAGGGGCTGAGCTGATTAGTGACTAAGATGGTAAGATGTCTCTCACACCCTGTATGAATCTGTCCTTCACAGATAGATTTTATCTAGTGATTTCATGCTTCTTTGTCCCAAAATGATGGTACAGAAATGCAGGAAAATGTGTTCAAAATGACACAAAATGTTGTTTTACATTTTGCTTTTTTTATAATTATCAAAGAGTATGTACTGTACATGCATATGCGTGTGTGGCTGTCTTTCCAAAATTTGCCGCACCATGGTATGATATTATTTCCAGTGCCAATGATGACTGGAAGTTTTGTTGCCTTAGCTAACCAGTTTGTCTGCTGATTGTTTAAAGGCTTTCAGTTATGCAAGAACAAACTGAAATGCACTGATTTGGTAAACGAAACGTAATCTGCTACAAAGCGTATTATACCAGATGGCTTCCAGAATAAATAAAAAATGTCAGTTATATGCAGCCACAACAAAGTCACCCTACTGGCAGGGCTGCTAGTGGTTTCAGCAGTGACCAATCAGCTTGCTCGAATACGTTGTCACAGCAACAGCTACTAAACTGTGTTTTTTGCCCAAAGATGGTGAAAGCAGAGTTGACTAAACCGAATTGAGCCAGAAACGTTCTTGTGAATAAAAATGAGATATTTCTTAATTTTACCTCTTTTTGATACTGAATTGTGATTAAAGACATATGTTGTTTGTTAATTTGTTCATTCATTAACTAATTCATTCATTTCTTTGACAGAAGCATAGTTCTATTGCTTCATTTGATCTGAAGTCTGAAATGAAAAATATATAAAATCACACCATAGGGACTAGTATGTTTTTTCATTTGATCCCATTCATTCAATTAGAGCTAAACCTGTTGGAAAATGAAAGGGGGTTATCCTCAGATTGAAGTCTCGACCCAATTCCAAGCCAATCCAAATTCAGCAGGGTGCAATTTCAGCGAAGATTAACTAATCGTTTGCACAGTAATCCCAACTCAAATTTAACGTAGGGATTTGGCATTAAAAACACACACCCTAACAAAAAAATACTAATATGCTGGTGGAAGAAATATTGATGCACTTAATTGATTGGGAAAATGTAGACAAGTCCTTTATATCTGCGTGCATTTTTGTCTGTAGATTCCATATACATAGACACAGGAGATGTGCTCTTGCTCTTCCCTTTGTTATCACATGTATTTACATATTTAAATAATGCTCACCTGCCATGTATTAGACACTAGGAGGAAGTGCTCTTTCCCACAGCCAATCGATCCACCCAGTGGGTTGCTGATGTGCTCGGATGCGATTATAACCACCCCGAATATGACAGTTGGTGTGAATCACATCATAGCCGCCAGCGTGAAATGTGTGCTGACAGCCTTCTACTCAGAGACTGTAAGCTCTCCTGCAGCTTACACTCTATCAGATCTCCAGTACGTCGTTTCTGTCACTCACTGAGTACAAAACTCATTGCTAACGCTTCCGGAAATACTACTGCATGCATGTATTACCTTAAGGTTATTTCAGCCATGATTTACAGTACCTATGTCAAAGAAATTCCAATAGATTGTTTTATATGCCCCGGAATGTATTATATATTTTTTCTAGTATTATTTTGATTAAATGAGGGTGCATTCTCTGGTGTGTAATGTGGTATCTTAATGGCCATCAGGCCAGCCCACACTTTGAGGTTGTACATTTCTTTAACACCATTTTTGGTCATATCTGCTGAAGAAAGAGATTCAGCCTTTAGCAGAATAATGAGACTGAACTGCTTTCAGCATCAGTGGCCTGAATCCCAGGATGTGAAGGGTTACTTTTCACACTTACATGGCCTGCGAGAGAACAAGAGTCACTTTGCCCACCTCATAGCTTCAGGGACACCAGTCTCTGTTAGAATAGCTCTCCTCAGTGAAGCTCCTTTTCCCCAGAATGCTGCACTGGTGCTCTCCACGTGAGTGACGGAGGCGTGGAACTTAGTGTAACAAACAGGGAATCCTCAGCGACCCCTGGATGTGGGCCAGACCGTGTCCTAGGCAGAGGCAGGCCATTGTAATCCATTCACCTCCCACCAGAGTTATCAGCCATGTCCACCGAGCCTTCCTTCCTCCCTGAAAATACCCTGTGAAAAGGAAATACTGACATTCAAAATTCTTATTATGCATGGGTTGTACATTCTTATATGAATATGTAAGGCTTTACATTAACTGCACCTTTATAATGTCTTTATCATGCATTCATTGAACATTTATAAGCAGCAAGTAAGCATACAGCTTGAATGTACATCAACAACAAACATTATAATCATATAATGTGTGTCATTAATGTATATTAAAGCTGTTAAGGGATGTTAGGATGCCAGTGTATACTTACGTGCTGCACTGAAAGTTCTGTGAAGGCATCATGAATCCATTATGAAGGTGGAGTTAATGTAAAGTGCTACAAAATATATTGTATGCACAGAAAAAGTCAGTGTTATAAACTAAATTCATTACAGGTTCACAGTGGAGAGTCTGCAGTGTGTCAGTTTGCGATGTTCACCTTTTCCTTTAATTGTAACCGTTTACTGTTACCGTTCTAATAATATTATTATTATATGTGCCGTGCACTAAACTGTTAATTTCAAGTTATGTAATAAACTAGTGTTTTATTTCTTCCTTTTCTGTCTCAGAGCTTAGTTTCTCTTGGGTGTTTAATGAATACCCAAACTTCATACAACAAGACAGCCGGCGGTTTGTATCACAGGAGACAGGGAACCTCTACATTGCTAAGGTGGAACCATCAGACGTGGGCAACTACACCTGCGTGGTGACCAACTCCATCACCAAGGGGAAAGTCCTAAGCTCTCCTACCCTACTGACCTTGAGGACAGACGGTGAGGTCATTTTTAGTCACACGTCCTCAAGATCACAGCATGTTCTCTTGACAAGAATCCACGGAGTAAAAAAATATTACACATGTCCTACATCGTCTGTGAAGTACTGCTTCCTTTAATGTGCACAGAAGATGTAGCACACACTCGATCTTTCACGGCAATCCTCTTGAAGGCCTTTGTGTTGCGTTTGTCATGGGCTCGCGAGGAGCAACACAAATATATATTCTTCCAGTTTATTTAAATATTTACTGACAGTCTGAAAGTTACCCAGATATGAATCTCTAATGAAGTAACAACAACACCTGATTTATAAATTATGGCTGCATTTGTCTGTATGATTTTAAGGTGTCCAATAAAGAGTCACAGGATTCTTCTTCATATTATTATTATTATTATTATTAGTTTTATTATTATTATTATTATTATTATTATTATTATTATTATTAGTTTTATTATTGTTGTTGTTCTGTTTTGCCTCCTTAAATCTTAAATGATACCGTCGGCTCTGTGTTTGTCGCATTTATTTTTATGTCTCTGTTTATCCCCGTGTGTCTCGTGTTCTTTTCATCGTAGGAGCGATGGGTGAATATGAACCAAAAATTGAAGTTCATTTCCCTGATGCCATTCCTGCAGCAAAAGACTCTGTGGTTAAGCTGGAGTGCTTTGCTCTGGGAAAGTAAGTTACACGCAGTGTGTTTACCAACAGTGTGTGTGTTTTTTCCCCTCTAGTTCCTCAACCTTGGGCTGACGGGGGGCATTTCATATGCTTCAAGTAGTTCCTTCATCCACTTGTATGAAATAAACGCCATTTTCTCAGCCTGCTGATGGCCATGTGTACTGTAGGTTGTTGATGCATCCTACTAGTTTCATGCCAGCTTATGATCAATAGCAACTGGAAGAGTCATTTGTCGATATTTCAGCCGGAAGTCTCTTTGCGATGTTGGGTTTTTCACTCACGATTTTGACTGGGGTTGGGATTATGAACAGGAAGCTCTGTGAAGTAGGTCTGTGGAGTGATATCAGTAAGCACGGTGCCTTACTATAAAGCGATAGTTTGGGAAAGAACTAAAAATCAGATGCAACCTTCATGCTTGACTGTTATTGTGGCAGGCTGGGTAATATTGTGTTCCACAACAGGAAAGTTTTATTAATGACACCCTTCCTAATAGGTTTTATAGGGTACATATCTCCTTGAAGTGTTTACTTATCTTTCTGTCTGTCTGTCTGTTTGTCTGTGTATCCGTCTGTCTGTCTGTCTGTCTGCCCGTCTGTCTGTCTGCCTGTTTGTTTGTCTGTCTGTTTGTCTGTCTGTGGTTTGTCTGTCTGCCCTTCTGTCTGTCTGTCTGTCTGTCTGCCTGTCTGTCTGTCTGCCCTTCTGTTTGTCTGTCTGTTTGTCTGTCTTTCTGTCTGTCTTTTTGTCTGTCTGCCTGTGGTTTGTCTGTCTGCCCTTCTGTCTGTCTGTGGTTTGTCTGTCTGCCCTTCTGTCTGTCTGCCTGCCTGCCTGTTGCCTGTCTGTCTATCTACCTGCCTGTCTGTCTGTCTAGCCCAGTCCCTGAAATCACCTGGAGGAGAATGAATGGGGTCCCATTTCCCAGCAAGGTGAATGTGAAGAACTCTGGTGCTGTCCTAGAGATTCCCAGCTTCCAGCAGGAAGATGCCGGGACGTACGAGTGCATGGCCGAAAACAGCCGGGGAAAGAATACAGCGCGTGGCCGTCTAACATTCCACTGTAGGTGCCTCGGGCGTCTGTGCTGGCAGTCAAAGGGAACCATCTGTCATCGTGGGGGTAGAACTTAAACAGAACTGACAAATGATATATGATGCAATAAGTCCCTGATTTATGAGTTGGCATTTGCTCTTCTGAATATATGTGTGCGTGCACAAGCGTCTGAGCACGCATGCACGTGAAGTAATTGTGTCCAGTAACTGTTCCGCTTCCCCTGGTCACATGACTGTGGGAAATAAAGCTCTTTCCTAATGGAAGTTGACATCGTGCTGCCGTGACGAGCGCCACACGTGTTAACAGATGACAGCGATGCTGAGCTACTTCCGGGCAAGTGCCCTCGAAATAGGGCTGCCGCAGCCTCAGAGGGGAGCAGCCAAGGCCTGTGATTTATAGTGTGTTTTGTTGCAAAACAAAGTGGCATTATAATGCTCCCATTGCTGTTTAAGACAGATGTACGTTCTCATAAGGAGACGGCAGGTTGCCCCAGGACAAAATGGCTGTGTCCTTTGAAAGGGGGAAGTCCTTTAACTGGGCCAGAGATTGAATTTCTGCCCAGTAGAAGCACTCAGACCCCAAGCGGCCTGAACACGATGGTGCCGCTGGAGTTTGCTCACCAGGGCACCCGGTCAGAGCCGCCTTTTGTGCTTTTCCCGCAGCAAAGCCCCACTGGATCCAAACGATGCAGGACACGGCCGTCTCCGTAGGGACCGGCCTGTACTGGGAGTGCAAGGCCAGTGGGAAGCCAAAGCCCTCTTACAGCTGGCTGAAGAATGGGAAGATCCTCGCCTCCGAGGTAACGAACGCACCGCCGTGAAACGCCACTGACCAGCTCTACAGGCAGATTCTGCTTCCGCTGTCACCACATTCTGCTTAGTTCATGCTAAATCCAAAAATGTGCCAACAAGCTTAAATATTCTGATTTCAGCAGGTATTCTCCCTTTGTTCGTTATTGTTACAGCTTATATGGTTATCATGTTATGCCCCTCAGATTATTTCAGCTTCACTAACGCAGGCCTGCATCTCTGTCTCTCGGTCTCAGGGAAGGCTGATGATTGAAAATGGAGTTTTGTCCATCTCCTCTTTGGACCTGTCAGACGCTGGGATGTATCAGTGCATCGCTGAAAACAAACATGGAACTATTTACTCCAGTGCTGAATTGATGGTCTTAGGTAATGTTATCTCTTCACAGGTCTATTTCCCACTTGCTATTGCCTCGCTAATAAATTATTGAAATTCTGAGCCATCTCCCTGAACTTTAACTCAACAGCTCGCTGTTCTGCGATGGTGTGGGAACTGCTTTTGTGAGGAGGCTCTGTCAGGTTCCCGCTTAGGGAAAGTCTGAAGGCTTCTCTCCCGAATTCCTGTTATTAACTTCAATTCAGTGCAGTTTCAATGGGTACAAAGTGGAGAAAATTAATTTTTCTTGTCGCACTGATTGATTTTTGGATCTAATGCATTGCAAATGATGCGCAGGCAGCCGGCAGATGAGATGTTGACAATTTGCAAAGACTCTGTTTGCCTGTCAGATGAAAGAGAGGAAGCCTCTCTTGTCAAGATCCTAAACAGAGGCTTGTGCCTGGCGGAGGCTGCCTATTTCCATTGTGAACCAAAGATAAAAGGCGACCCATAAATAACTCCGAAAAAAGCTTAATGAGGACGGTGATGTGATGCGGTGCTGGAGCGGGCAGCCACAGCCTCGCTTCTGCTTCCTGAAGCGAGGGATGCCCCGGAACGGCGTGCGTCTCGCTGGGGGTCTGCCCCGAGTCAGCCTCGGTGACACGCTGCCTCCTTGAAGTCTCACTGACGCGGCTCACGGCCTCGCCTCCCCCTCCCCCTTCTGCAGCCTCGGCGCCCAGCTTTTCCCGCGACACACTGAGGACGGTGCTGAAGGCACGCACAGGAAGTGAGGTCGTTCTGGAGTGCAAGCCCCAAGCTTCTCCCCAAGCTATTAAACTCTGGAAGAAAGGGAATGAGGTCCTGCACCCCAACGAGAGGTAATTTACGATATGATGATTGATACCATGCAGTTATCCCAGTGCTTATGGGAAGTTTAACCATGTTTAATATCAGTGACAAAAACAGACTGAGCACTTTTAATGGGAAGTAAACCGAACCATTAACCAATGTGCGGCTCTGCGTGTTTTTGAAGAAAAGTCTTAAGTAATACAAGAATGAGGGTCTTTTACATCAAAAGCAATTAATAAGATTTGTCTGTTGCATTGCACTGAAATGTAAACAATCATATAATAGTAATAGATGAAAAAGATCAGTAATTAACACGCTGACCTCAGCAGTAGCCAATATGGCGACATGGAGAATATATGAATCATAAATATATTTAATTTTAGTTGCTATTTTAAGTCATGCTACTTGTCATATATACATTTACAATATGTTTGAACTGAAATTCTGAAACAGTCTTACTGTTTTATGTTGGAATATAATATTTGTAAGTCTTTTTATATCATCTCAGTCCATTTACTCTGAATATCTAAAAATATAATTCCTGGAGGGAAAGTGAAAGTCTTTTAGCCGACTGTCTTACCGATAACCCCCCCTCCCCCCCCCATCTTTGGTTCCTTCTTGGCCCCTCATTTGGAGATGCCACTGATTTGCTGGAAGCTAAATTTAAGAATGGAATCCCATTAAAGCCTTGAGTTTAAAAATGCACAGAGTAAGATATCCCCTGCCTGAATCAGACAAGGAGCACGGCAGGTCATTCTGTTTTTTTAAGCGGTGGTGATCTGAGGAATTATTCACAATCAATGAAAGCTTTTAAAATACAACATCTGCAGGACATACTCAGAATATACAATAAGCTGCAGGAAAGGAAAAGGCTGTTGCAAAGGTATTGCACCAATAACATGTAAAGAAAATATAAGGCGCTATATATACCAAGCTCATAAAAAATAATTGTGACACACAGCATTTTCCATTCAGGTCTAAATTAATTTTTGTTTGATTTAAACACACTTGATTACTGGGCACGTTCAGTTATTTTCTAGCACAAATGTAGTGCCTCCGGTAAGTAGGAATGCCAAAGGTTCGACTGAGTCCAGACCCACTCTTGTCTTTTCCAGGATTTCACTGTATCCTAACGGAACATTAAGGATCTCAAACGTGACCCGGCGGGACGGCGGCAGCTACACTTGTATAGCGCGAAACCAGTTTGGAACTGCGAGCACTACGGGAAGACTGCTAGTTACTGGTGCGTCCCATTGCAGTGCTTTTTGATGTTAGCTGTTCATTGGCTCATTTGACAAGTGTGGTTTAAGTCACAATCACCCAAGCACTGCTAAGAGAGGCCACTTCATTTAGCATTAAATGCATGATAAAGGGAAGCATGCAAGTTAGTTATGAAATATATTTAATAAGAATAATGGCACTTTCTGTTGCATTATACTGTATTTAAAAATTGCCAGTGATCCTGACATTAGAAGATGGATGGGTGGATGGATGGATGGAGGAATGGATGGATGGATGGATGGATGTACAAGAATCAGGTGCATCTATCCACCATCTAACTGCATATTCGACACATTTTTTCCTTGTTTAATACTCTTAGAGAAATATTTTGTACTGTACTCCTACTCCTACCTATCGTGCTATAAAAAGTTTGAATATCTATGAATTATATGGCAAGTAATGGCTGTGCAGTTATGGTAGAACAATTTAAAAATAAAAATTGCCAAGATGTGTTAATGATATGCTGCAGTAATTGTTCTTTTGGCCGTTAATCTAGCGAGCATGTGAAAGTGTCCTGTCCTTTTGCACTGATTTAGAATGAAGTGACTGTTTGAATCCTAATCATGGAAAGGCAGTAAATCCTGCACCGTCTTTAACGCGGAGCGGAGGCAGTGTGATCACGCCGCTCGGATGCCGACTCGGCCGTTTGCTGAGCTGCTGTTTCATCCCACAAGGTCGTAGCTCTGCTCTGAGACCCTCATGCGGATCCCTTTCATATTCTTACCTTTCATCCTTTCATATCTGCTTTCTATTAATGGGAGCGGCGTCCCAGGGGACCCCCACCCCAAACGCTTCAATGTAGGTTACAGTGGACTTGTGGGCAAATCAGATAAGCATCCTGCACACGAAAATACCTTCCAAACCTTATTCATACCTGCCTGAGATGGTTTTAATGTTTGCTTACTAAATTATACAGTCTGCAAGTTTATTCAGGGAAGGAAATAAGGTGTAAAGCCTCAAAAATCTGCATATATTAACAACAACAATATTTACAGTATTTATTTGTTTGTTTTTTATTATTATTATTATTATTATATTTGACTATTATTATTATTATTATTTACTAACACATTCTGCCTTTAAGATGCCAGCGGGGTTAGAATATCTGACTTACGGACAACCCGAACGGACTTCCATGAAGCCTATATATAAAAAATTCAGGCTAAATGCGATGATTCATAATAACAAACACACACGCTACTTTGATAATAACAAACACACACGCTACTTTGATAATAACAAACACACACTCTACTTTGTGACGCTCATGAACATCGCATGGCTTCAGCGGTTTTTCAGCTCCACGTACAGCACAGTACCGCATGCAGTTACTTTCATTTTTACTCTATAATAATAGTCATTATTATTATTATTATTATTATCAGTGTTATTATTATTATTATCAGTGTTATTATTATCATTGGTATTGTACTGTATTATTTCGACTTACCTATAAATTCGACTTAAAGACAGTCTTAGAGAACAGATCTCGTTCTTAACCTGAGAAATGCCTGCATATCCACCTGGCATTATGTTGAGGAATTAGGTATAACATTCATGATACTTATTTTCAAATGGCAGGACATTTATTTCTAAAATATGATTAGCATTTTCTTGTATTTTCCCACATGATTGTGGACCATATGATCTGGTTTATTGTAACAATAATGGGACTGTGATTGTCTGGTTGTGGATCAGCCGTATAATAAAGGGCATTATAATATAGGTGATTATTATTGCAGGGTGTTCTTTGTAGTGCTACTGTCTTTAATCTCCAAGCTTACATAATGCCGCAGGACTATGCTACTGTAGTATGGCACTATACTACTGAGAAATGTGTTTCTGTTATTTTTTTTAATTTTTGTTAATACTTGGCAATCCTTGACAGCCACTGACAGTTCGGTCATTTTCACATAGTTAGCTAGGAGGCCATTTGTTTGTTTTCTTTTTTTTCTAGAATCCCAGTTGCTTGTTTTTCCAAAATCTCAGACAGAACAATGCAGGATAAAATGCAGAAACTCCTTACGTTCTGTCAGGGGAAATCCATAAACTAACAGCACAAATGTTCTGGCATTTGAACCCAAGGAGAGTGGCTCAGTGGTCGGCACTGTAGCCGTGCACCTTCAGGGTTATGGGTTCAATTCCCATGTCAGCTCTGTGTGTGTGATGTATATATTACATTGTGGGGACATCCTGCAATGTGATAAAAACCTGTTATTTTGATATTGTCGGGACCATTTTTTGATCCTCACAAGGGGAATCTCAATTTTATAAAAATATGTGACTGCAATTAAAATGGCAAAAGTCCTGCATTTTGTTTGGTTACCTTTGGTTAAGGTTAGGGCTGGGTTAAGGTTGTCATGTTGGGATTAGAGTTTGTCCCATAGAAATGAATGGAGAGTCCCAACAAAGATGCAATTACAAACGTGTGTGTGTGTGCCTGTGTGTGTGTGTGTGTGTGTGGGGGGGGGGGGGTGTTTTGAAATGATTTACCGTTACTAATTATACTTGCCGTTGAGATTATTTTATTGGAGAAATATGACAAAAGGAGCCTCCGTTTCTCTTCCTGGCACAGAGCCCACGAAAATAATCCAGAGGCCGAGCGACATGGAGATTATAGTCGGCGAGAGCATCGTGTTGCCCTGCCAGGTAGCCTGTGACCCAGTTCTCGATGTGTCCTTCTCCTGGGCTTTCAACGGCCAGCTGATTGACTTCTACAAGGAGGTGGATCATTTTGAGAGAGTGGGAGGGGTGAGTCACTCATGGCTGCAGGCCTGTTCCTGCTATTTTAACTTTAATTAGCCGAGTTCCCGCTGCTCGGGAAAATGCAGAGAATCTGCATGTCATTCATGTCTAATTATCGGGTCGACAAAGTTCGGGAAGTGAGCAGAAAATGAAGACAGGGCAGGCTCTGGGGGGGTTTTCAGGGAACATAAACGCAATTCATGGAGACCCGCAATCTTATAAAACTCGCTGGAAAACTATTTATTATACCTACCGTCAGGGCTTTAATATGTATTGTTTACAGCTTAAATTCATTGCATGAGGATAAGGGAATCACGTCTAGCAATATAACGCCACAGGCATGTTTCGTAAGCAGTTCTAGGCTCAGTGGTTTTGGGGGCCTATGAATTGTATTAATTTTCCTGGGAGCCCTTCAGCTACCTGACTTTATTAAAATATGAGGTTCATCCTATGAGCTTCAGCCGTGGACATTCTATCATGCATACCTGTTCTCTGCCCGCATGCCTTTCCTGTATGAAGATGCTCAGATCCGAATGTCAAGTACTGTCAAGAGGTTGTAGAACAAACATCAAAGCAACGATAATGTCTGTGCTCTGTGTGCAGAACCGAGACCCAAACAGCACGTGGAGCATTGTCTGAAATAACCATTAATGCCTTCTCTAGCATAATGAACTAAATTTGTCATGAATTAGGCTAAAATAAGAGACAGTAAGCCAAGACAATGGCTCAGCAAAACAATAATATACTATTGTTTACTGAAAATGTAATCCTTTTAGTAGAGGATAAAATAATGTGCTCCAATTTTGCCTAATGCCCGTAGAATCCCAGTAAAACCCAGTTTTGTTCTTTTGTCTGTTAATGGAGAGTCATCCTTTGGAATTGCAGGAATTTTACACTGTGTCTTCGAAATCTAACATTCAGTTTTTCATTTTAGGCAAATATAAAAGAAAAAGGATGACAGAAATAAAAAAAAATGAAATGCTCATATATGCAGAAGAACACACACTTGGGTGCATGTCTAACAAGCATAAATGATGTTGATATAATCATGACATTGCTGCTTCAGGATGATTTGAGATGATAGTGTCATGTTGTTGTTCATACAGCCATGCAGACGTCCCCGTTCCGAGTTAGTGCATCCGAGATCTCTTTACGGTGTGCGTGCATCTGTATGTGAGTGTGTGTACTTGCTCTGTAGTTGATCTCCTTGTCCAGAGGCTTCAGGAATCAATCTCAGCCTCTATAGGCTTGTCCAGTGGGCTCCACTTTGTCATAGTCTTACAGGTTACCCGCGGTCATGAAAAACCTGGATAAGTTTTGGAATTTTGAAATAATTTTTCCAGGCTCTGGATAAGTTTTGGAATTCTTGGATAGAGAGGAAAAGTTATGGAAAAGCTTTGGAAACTAGCCTTGTTCATTTTTTTTCCCGCTTCGTCCCGCAACGCGCTAACAGAAGTGTACGAGTGGAAGTCAATAGTTAACTACCTTGGTAAACATCCGTTTCCGCACAGATTTCGCGTATTTGAGATCGCTGCTTTTTTTGCTCGTTATTCCAGTTTTTATGGTTTTATGTTTTTTGCACGTATTTGAATTTTATTGATCAGTTTCCCGTTTTTGAATCTATTTTCCTCTACCAATCATAAGGTACATATAATTGTAATATTTAGATTAATTTTCTTAATAATTGAACGCTATTTGCACATTGGCGAAAGTTGTCCACCGTCTGTGTTTATTTGTTAAACAGATTAGCTATTATCGTACCGAAAATTGTAGCATTACTGTATGCGGGACGCGGAGACAGGAGCGGCAGTCAGGAAATCGGGGAACACGGGGTTTAATGAATGAATGAATGAATGAATGAATGAATGAATGAAATGGCAGGCAAAAAAACATTACAGTGACATTACAATGACCGGACTAAACTGAAACGCGGGAAAAAAACTGAAACGCGGACTAAATACAGAGAACTAATGACAACAATCAGAAACAGCTGATCACACATATGGGGATTCCACACGAGGTTAACGAGGGGGCGTGGCACACGGAAGGAGCGGACGATCGGGGGAGGACAATTACTATCTGAAACTGCATGCATCATCAAATCAAAGCAAACTTGTGGGTTTTGGAAAAATTTATTGTGGTACTGGAAAAGTTTTGGAAAAGTCATGGAAATTTATTCTGCCAGAACTGGGGGAACCCTGGTCTTACTGAGCCAACTTTTCTGAGAATTTCATACTTGAGCCAGACCAGAAAGTACTATTGTGTAAGGAGGTTAGCTGTGATCCTTGTACTAAACCTGAATCGTCTTTATGAGAGATACATTTGTAAGATTTAACAGTTGTCCGAAAGCAGTTATCCTACATCCTTGGACTGTAGGGGGAAACCAGAAAAAATAATGCAAACATGAGAACATCCACACCGTTACACGGATCCCCGGAGACTTTCCCTGCCCCCCGAGAGGCCGAGCTTTGCGTATTGTCTTGTATGTGTAGTTGCAGAATATTTCTATTTTGGTAGAAGTGTCTGCCAAGCAAGTGAAATTGTGCTGTATATCACACTTGCACGTGTTCACTGGGAGGTGGAAATGGCTTCTGTACCGTGGGATTGGTGTGAAAACAGAAAGCCAGACAATTGGCTGTGCATTATCTCTGCTTTGGCATTGGATAATTGGACACAATGAATTTTTTTCCTTTAGGAAATATGAAAGGTGCTTACTGTACACTTTGGGCCATGATCCGTGACCTTAGATCTGTATGGCACTGCATTCTGCGGAACCCTAGTGATCTTGACTGCAGTGTCGCCTTTTAAGCTGACTTTCTTGCCATAGTTCTTCCTAAACTGCCCGTCACTGTTTGCCTCCCTGCCGAACAAAACAGCTTGATGATTTGATAGTTTAGCTAGCGATACCAGCTTATGATTTTCATACTAGCAGCTTTAGCTGGTCATAGCAGCATGCTCAACTGGTGACCACCCCAGCCAAACCATCAAACGTGACCATCTTAGACCAGCTAAAACCAGCTAAAACCAGCTACCAGCATAAACTGGTTTTTAGCTGTTCTTTAAAGCAGTGCTGGCTTTATTTGACTTTTAATAAACATCTGTGGAACTACAGTGTGAGTGTATTCACCTTTTTGTTCAATTCTGTGTAATTATCAACTTATTAACAGCTTGTTCTCTGTTCCCTAGTTTGTTTGTAGATGTCCATTTGAAACCGGAGGGGACAGTTATGAATTTAACAACAACCACCAGCGGGATTCATATTTTTTATTGTTATGGAGCAAGCTTTCTTTTTCATAGATGTCACAGACATTTACAATAATTTCCAAGCTTGTTCAAGCTCTGGCACGTAAAAGTAGCAATTAAACACATTTTCTGTTTTCAAGGCTGCTGCACCAAGACGGAGCCCATGCCTTTATTCCAGCCCTGACTCTGTTTATCTGCATTGTGTCATTACTGTGTTACTCTGTCTAAAACCAAGTGCCTTTTTCTTCATTTATAATTTGCAATAATTATATTTCTTTTTATGCTCTCTGTATTTTTTCTGAACGTTAGAATATTCTTGTGATTTGTGTGCTCGCGTGGGAAAATGTGGGCTGTTTTCTGTCATTTTATTTATCTTGGCCACATATATTGATGATAGATTCTTGCCACTTAGGCTGTTTCAGGAGATTTGATGATTCGCAACATTCAGCTGCGTCACGGTGGAAAATACGTCTGCATTGTCGATACGGATGTGGAGAGCTTGTCATCTGCTGCAGTCGTGGTTGTGAAAGGTAAGGGATCCAACTTCAAAAAGCAGCCTTCTCCTCTCCACTAAAAGACCCACAAGATCATAATCGAGTTCCTTTTTTGCGATTTGAGTAGATTTCACAACACCAAAAGTACATTATCAGAGTGAGCGTCCAAAACAGTAAATGAAGATTTTATTATGCATAGACATTACTGGGTGAAACTGACTGTGAATCTGCGAAAAAGAAATTGCTGGTTTGAAACATTTAAATAAAAATGAGTAATAAATGAATAGAATGAACATTAGTGAAATGTCTATTGCTGGTACTGCAGTAACTCTGTGGGGGATTGAATCCCAGCCTCGCTTTGTGTGTGGAATTTGCAAGTTCTGTCTCTGTCTTGCAGATTCTCTCCCAAAGCTGTTAGTCTGATTGGTAAAATCTGTAACTTTACCCATAGTGTGTGTGTGTGTGTGCGCGCGTATGTGGATTATGCTTATATTACATTGTCGGGAACAAATGTCCCATACAATATAATAAAAACCTGTTATTTTGACATTGTGGGCACAATTTTTCAGGTCCCCCAAAGATCTGTGAATGCAAAAAACTAAAAATGCCAAAAGTCTTGTATTTTGTTTGGTTACTTATGGTTAAGGTTGGGGCTGAGTAAGGAGATAAGGTCGTCATGTTGGGATTAGAGTTTTCCCCATAGAAATGAATGGAGAGTCCCCACAAAGATATAATTACAATGTCTTACCTGTGTGTGTCAGTGTGTGTGTGTTTGTCTGTGTGTGTGTGTATGTCTGTAATCTGCAATGGACTGATGGACTGGTAACCTGCTCTATATTGTCTGTAGCTTCCCCTCCAGCCTTGTCCAGGATAAGTGACTGAAGATGTTTTGACTTGGTTAATGTAGCACCTTGAATTGGCACTATGTTGCTTTGCTTGATAATTTGGCTTATATGTTTCAAATAACATTTACAGATGACAGTACAGCACAAGGCAGTATCAAAAGGCAGGTTCAAAGTTTGTCACAGGGAACCACGAAAGCATGAAAATGCTGCGTTAGATCTTTGGAAAAGAGAACATCTCTCTTGGAAGTGGTCAAGGGAAAGCAGCACGTCCAAGCATTAAGCCCTTTTCTGTCAAACGTCATTTTATAAGTTTAAAAGTAGAGTCATAAATTATACCTTTAGAGCCTGAATTATTTCCCAGTTGAGCAGGAAATTGATATGTAATTATAGGCAGTCAAATAAGGTTAGATATTGCTGATGGAGTAGTGGAGCGGCATTGTGGGCCGCGGCTGCTGTGTCGACACTAACTTTGCTAATTGTCTGATCGAGTCAGGTCCCCCAGGACCCCCAGGCACCGTGGTGGTGGAGGAGGTGACAGACAGCACCGCTCAGCTTTCCTGGAGTCCTGGCAGAGACAACGGCAGCCCCATCACTGGATACATCATCCAGGGGAGCACAGCCTACACTGTGGGCTGGCAGGTGGTCAATACAGGTAACAGTGCAGGCAAGACTACATTATGGATGGATGGATGGATGGATGGATGGATGGATGGATGGAAACCTAAAAAAAAATTGCTTGATTTTCAGTCATCATTCTAGGTACTGAAGGTTTCGATAAAAATGTCTTTGCTTAGGTGTAAGACCATGTTTCGGTTTTCCAAAAAATATCTAAAAAGACTTTGATTTGAAATGAAGCTAGACATAGATAGATAGATAGATAGATAGATAGATAGATAGATAGATAGATGATAGATAGATAGATAGATAGATAGATAGATAGATAGATAGATAGATAGATAGATAGATAGATAGATACGCTAGTCATTAAGAATGATTTCTCATCTACAGTAACGACCTGGCCAATAAACCTGAAATACGTTGTTCCTGACATATTTCTTTGATTAGCATTGTCTGTATGGCACCCTCTGTCATTCACAGTGCCTGAAACGATCGATGGAAACACGCTGACAGCCACCGTGGTGGATTTGAATGCCTGGGTGGAGTATGAGTTTCGTGTGGTCGCCAGTAACAATGTGGGCATGGGGGAGCCCAGTCCTCCCTCCATCAAAGCCAGGACAGAGGACACCAGTAAGTGTGCTCTCCACATCACTTCCTTCACAGATTTCATGCCATTTACAAAGAAATTGGTTAATTCATTTGGAGTATAAATATTAGGGATGGGAATCAGCAGTGACCTCCCGATACAATATTATCGCGATACCTAGGTGGCGATTCGATATGTATTGCGATTCTGTAAGTATTGCAAACAAATAAAGTTGTCATACTGCTAAAGCTTTATTCAGTAGCTGCACAGCTGGATGAACATGAGTAAACATGGCGTACTCCAAAGGATTTTCCTCCTCAAAACCCAAAGGCAGCATTTAAACAGTGTGAAACAACTTTATACAACAGTCTAAATTTTAACTTAAAATTAGGAGTTAACAAAAAGCTACATTTGCTGCTGTCGTGACATAAACTACACAGTTTTCATGCTTCTCCATGTCCTTGTCTATCTCGGGATGATGCCTAGCAACATGTGCCGAATGTTCATCGTATTACAACTATTCTTACCATCCGCAGGACAAAGTTTGCATACATGACTTATGTCCAACTTACCAATTAAGTTTTGAAAGCGAAAATACCTCCATGCGTTGAATTTAAACTGTGGAGGAGCAGCACGAATCGCTGCTATGCCATCCGCCATTCCTGTTATTGCTAAACAAAGTTAGAAAATAATTGTCTCCTACTACATTGGATGCTGTGCTGCCAGTCAATGTGGGCATAGTTTTGAGCACGCCACCTGCAGGATTATAGAGAAACAACGTTTCTCCACCCTGAATCCAAACATATACAGATCACTTATAGTGATCACGTCTGTAAGGGTGAAATTGATTGCTATAAGGAGATGAGCATTATAACCGATTTTTTTTATGGTAGTTTTGCTGCTGCAGCTCAGTGGCTCGCATAAGCTTTGATGAGTCTGTATTTGTCATTAAGAGAAAATAACTTTCTTTTTCCCGCCATGTTTTTTGTGCACGCTGCATTAGCCTCGGGTTATCGCAAGGCAAAGTAGGGCGATCATATTTTGTCATGTTTAAAAAGACCCAAAATGAACACTGTAAATGGACTACTTGATTACTATAAGCAAATTGTTTGAACTGAATTTGTACCGGAATGATTCTGTCCCAAACTTTTTGATTCATGTAAGTGGTTGATCACTATAATCCTGGTCACTATAACCGTAACCACTATAAGCAATTTCCACTGTATAAATTATAAAAGAGTAAATAAACGGTTTCAGAGTTAGTGTAGTGATACATGAATCGCTGCACAAAAGAATCACAATACATAAATGAATTGATTTTCTCTAATAAATATAGATGCATGTTTAAATAGTCTGGAACTCTATTATGCTGTGTATGATCTCTGTATATGTGGATGTAAACAAAAGTACCAGGTTGAATGATGAACCTTAAGCCTTTTGTTATTTAATTGTCTAATGACTACACACATCTTTTATTTATACCTTTTATAAATGGTTAAGTTGCCTTCTCTTTTCCAATCAATCTCTTAAGTTTCCTAAGGCCAAGATGAGTTTACATGACAACATAATTCACAGAAAATATCCTAAACGGTAAATAAGGTGATAAAAGCACAACATGCAAATATTACAAAGATGTTTAGTGAAATACTGTTATCTTGCTCTTCCTTCTTTTTGATATTATGCAGTCCCCGATACAGCGCCCTCTGATGTTGGGGGAGGTGGTGGTACTAAATCTGAACTGGTGATAACGTGGGAGGTGAGCTGTCTTTCACACATTACTCTTGGTAATGAAATATTTCTTAATGGAGCAGGATTTACAGCCAAAGCTCGGTCAGTCCTGTTTGTCACGTCCTGGCCGCTGTGTCCGCCTGGCCCTCCTCTCTCCTCCCTGACGTGCCTGGCCCTCCTCTCTCCTCCCTGACGTGCCTGGCCCTCCTCTCTCCTCTCTGACGTGCCTGACCCTCCTCTCTCCTCTCTGACGTGCCTGGCCCTCCTCTCTCCTCCCTGACGTGCCTGGCCCTCCTCTCTCCTCCCTGACGTGCCTGACCCTCCTCTCTCCTTTCTGACGTGCCTGACCCTCCTCTCTCCTCCCTGACGTGCCTGGCCCTCCTCTCTCCTCCCTGACGTGCCTGGCCCTCCTCTCTCCTCCCTGACGTGCCTGTCCCTCCTCTCTCCTCCCTGACGTGGCCATGATGGGCCGCACCTGTTGCTTGTTGTCCCTCATTAGTCCATGTCTGTCTCCTCATCACTAGTCTGATCACTGACGTCGCTCCTCCTGTCTGCCCGGTTCCGGTTCTCCTCTCGCCCACTCGTTTTGATCCCCCTGGTTTTTTTCCTGTCCCTGTTTGTTTAAGTTTAATAATAATGCTGCTTCTGTTATGCCAAACGCCAGCCCTAAAGTCCTATGTCTCTCCTATTGTGACATTTATTTTGTGTGCAATTCTAAAAGTTTATACAACCTTTTAATACAGTATTAAGTGAAATTACCAAACACAGAATAGTCTTTGAATTCAGCAGTATGTATGCTATGTTTATAAACATGCAATTAATGGTACACGATTTATAGCCAAAGCTACATCACTTCTGTTCTGATTTTTTTTTCTTTTTCCTTTATTATTCATTTCTGTTTGTGCATGTTTGAGAAATTCCAACAGCAATATATTGGAATCATTTTAACAAAATATACAAGCTCATTTATACATTTATTTCATGTATAGAACTGCACAGAATAACTCCTACATTTTATACAACCAGTTAATATAGTCTTCGGATTGAGCATCACCCATGCTTTGTCAATGAATGCTATCATCAGTAACATTTAATTAAGCTATTTTAACCTCCATGGGTCCTAGGAACTGTCTGAATAGACATTTATTAATAATGTTATTTTTTCAAAAATTTCTGGGGGGATAACAGAGTATGGTTCTAAATACTGGGTCAGGGTGCCTCTGGGTTTTAGTGGGATACCAGCTGCTGTTGCAAATCTGATGCCCTGTCACAAGTGCGACAAAATAGCCAGTTTTTTTCAGTTATTTGCACCTGGTTTGTTTGGACTGGTGGCCATTTAAGTGATTCTGTGTAAGAGAGTAAGCATGAGGTAAGCTACTAAACAAAAATACAAGGCTAATAAAGCAGACCAGAAGTGTGGATGTATTAGAAAGGCTGGAGAAAGACCAAGTGCCCAGGTAGCCATGAGTTGAGGTCACCCAGTCAGGATGATGTAATGGTTTTAGCGAGTATTTGGGTTGAGTGTTTGAAGATGGAGGTTAGATCCAGAAGAACGATACACTCGTCATCATCTTAGGCAGGGGGCAATCAAATATTTCAGTACAGCCAGCGGAGATTTGAAAACAAGCCCTTGGGTCAGAAGAAACCAGTAGAGATGATAAGCAAGGCATTGATGGCGGTCACCACTGTAGAGCACCGCAGAAGACATTCCACTGTAGAGCACCGCAGAAGACATTCCACTGTAGAGCCCTGCAAAAGACTTTCCTGTGCTCAGGAATTAGACCTGTGAAGGGCCTAGAGGGCAAAATTATGGGATTTTTATACAGTGACCAATGACTGCATGCTTAAGATGAAGGGAGACAAGAAGCTGACACATGATACTTGCATCTTTAAAGTCTGGACAGAAACAACCAGAAGGGATGTATCATGGATCGATGTGAAGATAGGAAGAATGCTGAAATCAATAAAAAGGAAGTCCTTCCTTTTCAGGAATGTACCACACGGAGTGAGAAATGATATTTATGAATTTAATAGCATGGTTAAAAAAAAAATTAAAATGCAATTGCATCACGTGTTAATAAGAGTAGCCAGTGAAATTCTGTTATTTTCTGCAAATGATATTTAACATAAATTGGTTTTCCTGGAAACCCTTTCGGCCTTGGCCTAAAGCAATATTACAGGGTGTTGAGGTGCCTTTAATATGCCTTAGCATCTACAGCTAAATAAAAAAGGCAAGCCACTTAAAATGATTAAAGGGGAATTAATGGACGGGCGAGAAGCAAAGAGGAGTGTTTTTTTGTCTCTATGTGTTTTAATATCACTACAGTTTTGTGTTCTGCTCCCAGCCGGTGCCAGAGGAACTGCAGAACGGTGACGGCTTTGGATACATCATAGCCTTCCGACCACAGGGCGGCATCACCTGGACACGCGCCGTCATATCCACGCCCGGACTGGGCAGATATGTCTTCCGCAACGACACCATTCCGACGTTTTCTCCATTTGACGTTAAAGTGGGAGCGTACAACAAGAAGGGGCAGGGCCCGTTCAGCCCGATCGTCACGGTGTATTCGGCGGAGGAAGGTAACCAATGTGTGGACGCTAGAAGAGTGCGGGAGTGGTCCTTCTGCAATGAACGATAACTGATCCGAGTTCAGACCATCCATGTTTGAGCTGCATTTAGTGCTAATATCTGGTCACAGGTCCAGGAAGTGTGCTTCTAATACGTTTCTGAAACACTGTGTTTTCCTAAAATCGCTTTGATTTTTGTATTTACTTGAAAAATAGATCTCTCTGCAGCTTCGTCGCCATATTTATAGGTCTCATTTTATTGCATTAAAATACTTTTTTTGTCACTTATTAGGACATTTTTTTCACATTGCACTTAAAAACAAACATTAAAGATTTCCGAGGGCTCAGTGTAGAGCTGTAATTAATGCAGTGCCGTCACAGAAGCAGCAGCTGCTTGGTTTGAGAAGCTAAATAAGATGTTTCATGGATATTTTTTATTTTATTTTTTTTGCCGATGGTGTGCTGGTCAGGGCCTGCTCGGGACGACCTTCTCTCTCGTTTCGGCATTGGCACCCACTATCTCACAGTCACACGCAGACTTGACAAAATATCAGGCTGCCAGATTCAGTCTCCTTGAAGATTAAGGTTTATGGAAGAAGCTCCCTGCAGTTTTATTTTTTTTAACGCTGGAGGGGATTTTTAAATGTTAAAATGTAGTTGTTTTGTTCATGCTGCTTGTTTTCTGTTGTAACGCTTTGGTTGTATTATTTTAAAGGGCCTCTTCTGATTTTAATGTCAATGATACACTTTCACCATGACCAGAGTGCTCTGCTCTCCCATTGGCTGCTCCCACCCTGCCACAGAGGATATGCTCTTTTAATCATTTTCTTTGCTTATTTGATTAACCCTTTACAGGACTTATCTCCCAATTTCAGAGGGCATTTGCACAATTCTGGCAGTTATCCATTACTACAGATAAGCTTCTTCTCCTGCCTCTGATAATATGAGAAATCACTCTGATTCTGATGCTGGTTCACTGCTGATTAAAACTTGCTTCAAATACTCAACGTTAATGCCACATACACAGTTGTAGATGTGATTTTTAACTTACTGAAATCTCGCATTTTGTCGCTCGTGATTCTTCTTTGATGCTGCAGATGTAGTTTTGAGAGAATTTTTTTAATGCTGATGGGATTTTTCTGATCGTTACAGTAAATTAGAGGAATTCTGATGTGTTAATTGGCATGTGAATTTTCTACATCAGTGTCATAATCTTACCACACTGAGATACCACTCCTCTGTGTCTTTTTGAGTAGTTGTTTTTGTTGTTGCTGTTGCAGTGCCAAGCGTGAGGCCAGGCCGGGTTGTAGCCCACAGTATTACATCCTCGCAAATTGAAGTCACCTGGGGAACCCCTCCATCCTCTCCAGAAAGAGTCCTTGGATTCGAGGTAGACTGCCTCTTCCTGATTTATCTTTAAAAAGGCAATTATCTGATTTCAGTTGAGCAGGTTGTTATTCTGGCATCCTCCTCATGTGCTTTGGAATGAGAGTTTACGTACAACTGCGCGATGTCTGTCACTTCTGGCCCGTAGCAAAAAAAATGCAGAAAAATGTGGTTTCCATGGCAGCGCTCTGAAATAAAAAGAGGCATTATGTCAACATTTTTCTGGAATCACAGTATAGTTAATATGCTGTTAATAGTTAATAGTTAATAGTTAATAATAGTTAATAAACCTTTCATTTTTAAGGAGGCTTGTTAAAACACACTTTATTAAAACCTCCATTTTTTTGCGATGAGCCAAATGTGCAAACTGTTAAAATATTTCCTGATAAACCCTGAAAAAAGGATACATACCACAGGCGATTCTAGGCCCTGTTTACGGGCACTTCAGGCGATTCTAGGCCCTGTTTATGGGCACTTCAGGCGATTCTAGGCCCTGTTTACGGGCACTTCAGCCTCCCTGTTCTTTTGGCGCTTTTCCACTGCAACCAAGAAACGAGTTGTACCCAAGCCGTAACTTATTTGCAGGGCCGAAAGCATGACTAGAACGAGCTACCAGTGTTCTGTGCATGGATTACCTGAAGAAAAAAGGGTATATAATTCTATATATTGTTCATTTTTGGTAATATATCGCGATGTATTGTTGCATTCCCAAAAATTTCCCACATCCTACTTAAAGTACCATAGAACAGGATTGTATTCGCAATGCAAAATTACACAAGTGAATGCTAATTCCGCTAGTATTTAATGCTAACATAAGATGGGAATTCTCACAGACTTGTTCGCAGAAATTAGTACGTAATAAATGACGGTGTACACCATGTGGACAGTATACTGTATCTGCGTCTCTTCGGTATTTCATCATTGTTGCTCTCCAAACCCAACGTCTTTACCGAGCCGAACCTTCTGCAGTGGAAAACCGAAGTGAGCTGGAACCGCGCTGTAACTAGTCTCTCTTCGCAGTACGGCTCGGTTACGGCTCAAATCCTGTATGCCAGTGGAAAAGCTAAATCCATTCAGCGATTCCATCCCATATTTCTTGGAGACAAATCCCAGACTCGCTTCTGATACACACCATGGCTTTCTGTTAGAATGGCGCCTACCCATTCAGTTTCTGTCCTTTTCAGCTTCCAGTTTGTTAAACTTCTTCATCCTTTCCAGCTAATAACACATTGTCATTTTATAGCATACTGCAGGGGACGGACAAAATAACAGAAATACCTAATGAAAATCTACAGAATCCAAGAACAGCTGTGCTCGCAATTACTGTTTTTAATACCGTTATCTTCAGATAATGAGATAATTTATCTCTTTATCTTGATATTCCAAAGCTTGTTTTCTGAAATTTACCTTAATATATAAGGTTGATCTGTTGCTGTGTGTACACACGCTATGTATAGTGATATGATGTGGCATTTCCCAGGTCATAGGTCAACTTAGAGACAGGACATGACATGCACGTCACGGGAAAACACTTACACGGGTATAACACTTAATTTTAACATTAAATGCACGGATGCACACATTAAGTAACACAATTACAGTACATATATGAGCAGCATTGCGTACGGCATAACCGCCCCATGGTGTCACACGTTCATCCCTGTAATTATTCAAAATAAAATATCTTGCTACCTCGAGATAATGAGATAATTAAGTACGGGCGTTCTTAGTTTCCGTAAAAAAGGACGTCAGCTTAACTAAGTCAAACACTGGAACCGCAGCTACAGAAGTCGTATTGCACTGAATGGCACTTAGCAGCATGTTAATATATAAAAAATATTTTAAAATGTCTGACCGTAAGTACAGTGATATGTCAGTGATAAAGCAGGCCCCCTAAGCAATGGAAACATGAACATGTTCTGATGAGTCATTTTTCAGCAAAATCTAACAATATTCTTCTCCTAGGGTAACCCTGTTCATAGGACATTAATATATTGTTTCTTTTTTTCTTAATTTTTTTTGTTTTTAGCTCCCATTTACGTATCTTAATTTTTCTTGTCATTAATTATTTTTGCTCATTTTTTAATATTCTGCAACCTTATTTCTTTTCGGCAGTTCCATGTCGATTGAAACCTTAGGTCCTTATCACATGAGACGAATTCCAAACGTGTTTATTTCCTGAAAGTGCAGGTTTTTATTTCATCTCATCCTTACATCTAAAAACGTCAATATATTTATATCGATTTTGTCGCCCCGCGTTACAGGTTACGTACTGGGAAGATGATACCAAGCCCGACACAGTCGGAAAAGTCCGAATATCTGGAAATTACACGTCAGCTAATGTCAGTGGACTGCGAGGAAACATCCAGTATTATTTAACTGTTAGTACTTTCAACACGGCAGGTACAGGACCTCAGTCTCTGCCTGTCAATGTCACCACTAAAAAACCACGTGAGTATCAAAATCAAGATTAAATCTGATTGACACATTCTGTAGTAGTTGACGCGTATACATTATGATTTTGGTGTTGTTTTTTTCATTGTTAATCCTAATAAGCTTCCTGTGATTAGTTTATCTGGGTCTCTGAGAAGTAAGTTATTTAACGGGAAATGACAGTCAGTAACTGTGGCACAGTAATCGATCCATTATTAAACCAGCAAACCTGCAGCATACACAGCAGAAGAGACAGGTAAAACCACTACTAACTAAAAACCAGTGAAACAAATTTAAATTCATGTATGTGCTGCAGTGCTGGTCTATCTTTGGTTAAGCTAGTGATGATCACTTTTCAGGATGAGGAGTGCGCACTGTCATTTTGTGGTACACTCAGTAGCACACCCTTTCACAATGTGCTGCTTTAACAAACTGGGACATATCTTTGCAGTAGGTAAATTGTCAAGAAACCACATACCGATGTTTCTGTGCACGAGTCGAGCTTCTGTTTTACCTGCGATGGTGGAGGGCTCATTGAAAGAGGCATAGCCCACTGGCATGATCACAGAGTGACCTGAAAAGAGAGAGTCTCACATTAGGAAATACAGATAGGAATCGGGAGGAACAATATCTCTGCCTGTTGGAAATTTATGATTTCAGGTCTCAGCCTCGCTGTCTCTTGCCGGCCTTTTATGACCTATAGAGCTATACTGTGGATTAGATCTACCAGAAGATCTACAGTCACCATCCACTGAAACGTGATTTAGCACTAGCTGATACTGGATTCTCGTAAGAGGTTGCGAGGTCCTAAGCATAGCGCTGTGGAAGCACGAACGCTAATTTTGGTCATTATGATATCCGTCTACTCATTCTTCTGGCATGTCCTTGCAACACCGCATTCACTTTTGTCTTTTCCTTTTTTGTTTTCTGCACACATGTCCAATGCGAAGACACAGTATGCAGAAGCGTACGATATCTCCCACCCACACTGTCCTGTAGACAAACGTAGAGTGTTTCCAAAGCAGCTGGCTCACTGTACTGTTTGTCTTGCTCACCGTTGGCAATCTGAACGCATAAAGTCTCTCTGCTTATAATGATGGCTGCGTTACAATGCATTCACTGTAACAAAGTCTCCATTGCAGTGCTCAGCCAGTAGGTCTCTGTCCATCCACTCTGCAATCATGGTGGCTTTAGTCATAGCTGGGGAGGGTACATAAACTGCAGACATGCACACTAACCAGCACCTGACCAACCCATTTCCCAGGTTATAACTAGTATTAGGTGAAGATCACATAGGTCTGAATTTGCTAGACTATTAAACCCTAAAGGAGTGTGCTCTCTATTTTATTTTATTTTTTGATAGCCCCTGCACAGCCCCCTCTGAATATCGAGTGGACCCTGTTTGATTCGCACCTCACCTTACAGTGGGACCCCGTGATTGCCTTGGAGACTGAATCTGAGGTCACTGGATATCAAGTGAGTGATGCACCCACCACCTCTGACCTCTATCCAGCAAACGGCGATAACTGGAAAGCATCTGCTAAGCGTATTGTGGGCAGGTGTTCAGGCACCTTGGAATGTTGGGCCGCAGACCAAAACAAGGCAATGTAGAGCATCCCCTGTTTATTTAAACATCGTTCTGATCAATTGAAACCTACACAGTTTACTATTTTATAAATGTATATATGCGGACATTTTTGCTGAATAATTATACACCACAAGGAGCTCTTTGTTCTTAAGTCCAAACATTCCTGAATTGTCCTGTTATGTAATGCAATTTCTATGCATATTTACTTTGTACAGCTAGGAGTCATCTGACTGTTTGCGTTCTCCTTTTAAGATATCATACAGAAGGCATCGTCAAAGCAACGCCAGTTTCATCACAACAAACAAAACTACGGTGGACTTAACGCTCCCCAGCAATGACGACTATTACGTTCAGGTCAAAGCGTTAAGTGAAGGCGGAGAGGGACTGGGTAGTGACCTCATCCACATCCACAAACTCAGTAAGCTTGTCTTGTTTCCAGAACACAGTGCAATGACAGTTAAACACTTCTGATTCAAGCCATTAGTGAAACTCCTTTTAAGCTGGTCTTCTTCCCAGATATTTATCTGCATTGCAGTATTGCTAGCTATTCAGTTAGTATTCCTTGCATATAATTATTTTATTTTATTTTTTATTTAACCTGTATTTAACCAGGAAGGTCCCATTGAGTTACAATAACTCTTCTTCCAGGGAGTCCTTGAGACATACAAAAAGGGCATTGTGTGTTGCCGTCTTCTG